TGAAAACCATTAACTTTCCGATAAATTAGTGTTGACTGAAATATTTTACTTTTTGGCCCATCCGTTCCCAGAACTAACAAATAAATTACTACGCGTCCCGGCGTTTGTTACAATATTAAAATTTTATTAAATTATATTAGTCAGTTCATAACCGAAAATCATAATCCGCGATAGAAAATTACTTCCTTCTAATTGTGTTGAAATTTCTATAGTACTGATGCAAATTTAAAATCATATTTTGCATAACTCCAAGACCTTTGACTCCTTGCACATATTAGTGCAAAGATAAGAACATGCATGATAAAGCACTGCATAATGGCAATGACTACTGGATTACACATAACGTTTTACTTTTCTTGCTCGACTAAGTTCAGTTCCTGTTAGGCTTCGATCTGTCGGCGTGGTGACTCAGTGACCCAGTGCCAGTTTGCTCGATGCAAGTACCGGCTTGCTTTGGTATCCTCTTTTATTTCCTGACATACTCTGCCGCTAACGGTTACGGCTACGACGACACACACGCCGACACTTTGGATTTGCTGCCTTTAAATAATTATGTTTGTGTATTTCGAGGTCAAACTATATTTAATATACTAGCAAATTTCTCTCAAACATATTCAGGTTATTTTCGTTGGTCGCTGCAGGACAAGGTAAAGCCTAAACGAATGGGTTGGAACCGATTTCACTTTTTGCAGTCGATTTGAAGAGTCACTTTTAGCTTTGCTAGTTGTCACAGAAATATGTAACAGACTTCTGCTGACAGTAAGTACTAGTCAAAATATGCAAATATACAATAATACAAATATTTCTATGGGCTGTAACCTTTCTTTCTATAACGAAATAATCATTCTAGAATTTTTATTTCTCTTTTCTCTTATTTTTTACTATTTTTTAATAATTTTTTTTAATTTTAAATAAATACGCCAAAATTACGCCAAAACGATCAACGGTTTGAATATTCGTACTGAGAAAGTAGATATTTTTTACGACCATACAAAAATCATTTTGTAACCTGTTACACAGCTTATATTTTGGAAAACTCATTACCATCGTACACCGTCTTATACCAACAATAAAATAAATATTGTACTTCTCATATCTCTATGGAAGGTAGAAAAACAAACCAAAAAAGCCAAATCACATTTGATTTTTAGTCAGTTCCAGAATGAAAGTTTTGAAAACGAAATGACCATTTCGCGACTTTTTGTTTCGGCAAGCTGAATGTATCATTATAGATGCTAAATATTATGTACAATAACACATTAGTTTTCACAGTCATTAAAATGGGGGGAAGATTGTTTACAGGGTGGTTAATTGTATAATTTTTATGTAAATTCACGTTTTTCGCTTATAACTTTTTTCCGTTCATTTCCACGAATAAACAGTAAAGTACTTTTTTCATCTTCAAAAGACCTACAAAACTAGCCCTCGAGCGTCAAAAAATATTGAATAGATCAAAAGTTATAAAGAGAAGAAGTTTATTTATGACTTTTGAATTAAACATTTATAAACTGCGTTATTATTACCAGAAAGTTTTGGCGTCACATCCTCTCATTCCTTATCACTGTCTAATAACTCACACGAAATCTGGAATCGATAAGTTGAATAGTTTACAAGTTATGGCCTTATAAACAAATTAACTAATTATTAGTCTGGACGATCCCGAGCACCTTCCACAATCGCACTGATTCTTTTCATGGTAGATTTCATAATAATACATTGAAATCTATTTTTTTTTTTTTAATTTCAAATTTGCAACCTGGGAATTTTATTTATTTTTTAACCTTAGTTGTAAAATGAAATATATGACGCACGTGCATGATATGGTTATATGTTACATATTCTTTTTTTCATTACATATATCTTTTTGTTACAGCTAGTGTCGAATTTCAATACTATCAACCCCAATTTCTTTTTATCAGTTTGTATACTTATTAAATATTTTTAACAGTTACCAACGAATTGACCATAGCTTATTTGTTTACTCTAAATCTGGACAATCAGCTAGTGTCGATTTTCAATTCTATCAACCCCAATTTCTTTTTATCAGTTTGTATACCTATTAAATATTTTTAACAGTTACCAACGAATTGATCATAGCTTATTTGTTTACTCTGAAGCTGAACAATATAATCCTTATATTTTTATTACACTTACCTCTAATATTAATGCAGAATATTTATTTAAGCTGTAACTAATACCTACAGGAGATATCATATTCATATTTGGCTTCACGCTCTGTAAAGGAAATGTTTTAATATTCAAACAACGATAAACCAATGTCAATATTTACATACTGACGAAGTTATTAATTTCACATCTTGACAACAACGAAGTCTGTGATATTCAGAATGTAACAGTGATTATAAGAACTTTACAACTCACTTTTTTGTAACTGGAATTTTTCATTCAAATCATTAATTTTATAAGATCGGATGGGTCTTGCAAAAAAGTATGAATTTAAGTATTTTTTTATTTAGAATTATATATAAAGTATAAGTTATTGATAAATGTCACATAAACAAACAATACTAAACAATGTAACAAAAAATTAACTATATTAGTTAAGAAAATTTAATTAAAATTACATAAATCTAATTTAATAGATTCTAGATTTTTGAACAATAAATTGTAGCCCTTCAAATAAAAATTCCAGTTACACAAAAAGTGGTCTATGACTTTTGATAGATATATGCCAGAAAGAGTTATTTGGAAAACATTTTTGAAATTAAAAGCTCTTTCAATGTTTAATAAAAAATGGCGTGCAACAAAATTCTGGGCATCACGACGCCAGCGTAGTTTTATTATTGTTTCGTTATACAGGGTGTTTCTTAAGTAGAGGTCAAAAGTCCAGGGGCTATTCTGTGGCCAGAAATAAGGGTTTTTTGTTATACAAATGTGTGGTCATAGGACAGCCATTATCCAGCTATAGCGTGTCAAAAATTGAAAAAAAAATCAGTTCTTAATTTTGACGGTTGAAATAATTTAACCAAAATTTGGTTGCATATTTACTATGACAGTAGATATGAAACGAAAAATTACCAGCTTTAGAAACTTACCAGTGGCGGAGGTGTAGGTTTCATCGATCATTATTTGCCAAAAAATATATATCACCCTACATAATATTGCAAATAAAATAGGTCATTATATGCACCACTGTATTATCTTCACTTTTTGTTTCTTTGCACTTTTTTGTATTCCAAACTGATTAACAACAAAATTAATTTATTTATTTGATCAAGTACATTTTTCCGATACTCATTACATTACTTAAAATAACAATAATTAATTAACAATAGAATTACTTTATTATGATTTACTATAACAAATGTTGGAAATGGCCACCTTCAGCCAAAATACATACTTCAGATCTTGAAATTGCAGCTCGACTTGTAATGTCTTGAGATGTCACCAAACAAAAAAATTAATAGGGTTCATATCGGGTGATCTGGGTGGCCAAGGTTGACTTGGTTCTTGAGTGCCTCGCTCAATCACGTTATTACCGAATTCATTTCATTTAAAAATTCACGAGCAATTAAACTAAAATATGGGGGAGCTTCATCGTGCATAAACCACATTCTTTCTGTTAGCGCATAGAGAACATCGTCAAGTAGTTCAGGTAAAACATTTTGAAGAAAACGTCTGTAGTAGGCACCGGTTAAAGTTCTTGGTAAAAAATAAGGTCCATCAAGAAAATTTCCAATAATACCCATACATTCAAAGAAAACATGTTGAAATCGAATTCCATTTCCATGAGGGTTTTCGGACCAAACATATTTATTGTGGAAGTTCATTATAGCATCTCTGGAAAAATTTGCTTCGTCGGTAAACAAAATGCCAGCGGCAAATATTTTGTTCAATTTTTTACAAAATCCAGTGGCAAAATTGGAGACGAGCAGGATAGTCTTGCGGCAGTAAGGCTTGAATATTTTATATGCGATACATGTATAACTGTTGATGCTTAAAAACGGATCAAACTAATTTATGATTGAAATTAAGATTTGCAGCGATCTTCCTAATACTAATATTTAAGGCTTCTTCAATTTCGCATAGAATAGCTTCCATCAACTCAGGCGTTCTAACACTCAAAGAATCGGTAATAAGGTCATTGAACGAGACACTCAAGAACCAAGTCAACCTTGACCACCCAGATCACCCAATATGAGCCCTATTGATTTGTTTGGTTTTGACACGCTATAGCTGGACAATGGCTGTCCTAAGACCCCACATGTATATAACAAAAAAACCCTTATTTTTGGTCACAGAATATGCCCCCGAATTTTTGACTACTAAAGAAACACCCTGTATACCTTAATTTCAAGTCTCAGTCAATCCAAACTAACTATACCGTTAACATGGCAAACGTATTTCCCATGATAAAACAATCACCCTGTACAATAGTTACACCTGTTTGAATATTGGTACAAAACTTTGACTATTTGCAAAATTAGTTGCCAAAATAATTTGTAGTATGGGCCAAATAACAACATTTCACTGAATTAGCTATTAATAGTACCATCGTCATTAGATTTGTCGATTTCTGCTAGTGTTGGCTACTTTATTCTTCCTCATTTTTAGCGCAACTAATGAGTGCAATTACAATGAAAATTGACTTGAACATGTATTCAGAAGGCATGTCGCGTTTATATTTTTTGCAATAATTAACAATGTTCTGATGTGAAAGAGTTAAACCTTGAATTTATATAAAAACATGACAATTTCCCGTTACAAATAATAAAATAAATGATTATGATCCTATAATATTTTATGCTTTGGATGAAAAATGGACTATCACAACAAATACATTATAAATAAAATACGTATTTATTAGATAATGAAATATAGAAGTTTCTAAGGGCCTGTCCAATTTTATTCTTATCATATTGTCTACATATTACATATTATTATATTTAAAATGTCCATAGTCCTAAGATTACATAACACTTTAAAAAAATATTTAGTTGTTTGGCATGAAAATATCTACACAATATTTTTGGTTGCAGACGAAGTATCAGAAAACAGTTCGAAGTGCCCAATATTAACGGAATGCCCTTTTCGAGCGGAGCCTTGCAGCGAGGATGGTGACTGCTCTTTGGACTCGGTTTGTTGCAAAGCCCCATGTGGAAAAGTTTGCACAAAACAACTGTTTACAGGTAAAATCTTTAATATTAGCAGAAATAATGCCACTAACCAATTATTAGTCTCAATTCTGAAATAGTAGATATACAGGGCGTTTCAATAAAAATTGGACATAGCTTAGGGAAATTTTCAGAGTTAAAAATATGACTATACTTCGATTAAAAGACCGAGACGTAGAAATTTTGCATTTTTTCGGAGTTATGTCCCTTGATATCACTAGAAAAATATAAAATTTCTACTCCAATGGCATTTTCAACTTTGTTGTGGAATGGGTACATGTAGAATGGATTTACCACGTCTCTGGAGATTCTCAACCAGCACTAATCATAGTTTAAAGAAGAATTTGACAAGCACTTTATTTCAATGAACAATAATTTTTATTTATATTTTAATATGAAAATAGTAACAATACTCACAAAATATAAACCCCAACGCATCTTAAAATCGAATGTAAGTTAATGTTGCATCTGTTTGTATCAGATTGAACTTCTAAAGCCCGTAATTAGTGTACTATTTACATTTGAAATGTCTTATGCACTGCAGAAGATAAGTTTTTTATGTGGAAATGTATGGTGAAAAGCTCACTTTGCTTTCTTATTTAGTTGAGGAGATAGTTTCGCTGAAGCTGTGAACATTTCAAATGTTTTAAGAAGATAAAGATTGATAACATGTGAATATCATTTGATACAACTTGTATTTTAAACATTTTTTATATTATTGATGTTAAGTACTAGAGCAATTGAAGAAACCGTTGTAAATGGGACACCCTGTATATTGAAATCATAACAAAGTAACCCATTTTTGTTTTTTACCATATTTTGATGTTATTGAAACTACTTTTTTAAGAATCTGATCCCAGAATTGATTAAATAGATTTTGCTACATTACTTGAATACAGAGCATTTAATATAAGCTGAGATAAAATTATTATAAATTTATTTTACTTGTAATTTGTATAAATATGTAAATTGCTATGAATTCTCCTCTCAGGATGCCAGACGCTGAGAATGGCAGCTTCGAGAAGAGCCAAAGCTCTGGGCGTGGACGCCAAAAATGTTCGCATGCCAAGATGCAATAAGATGGGTGGTTTCGAACCCGTCCAATGTGACAACGAAATCATAAGCTCCTGCTGGTGCGTGGACGAAGCAGGTTTTGAATTGGCAGGGACTCGAGCACCTGCCGCAGCTTTAGTGAACTGCACAGGTAAGAAATTTTAAAATTCCTTGTATTTAGCACCTAAATTGGCAATATAATTTAGATTTTCTCGAAGCAACTCTGACATTCGCTGCTTTATTTTAGGTATTTTATTTCATATTACTAGAAACATTTATTTGTAAATAAAGTTACTTAGTTTCTAAGTACATATTTTGAAAAAGTGTCTGTGGTAGATCGTATGTACATAAATTATAGTGATAGTAATGATAATAATCATAATAGTGAGAATAATGATAATAATGATAGTGATGATACTAATGATAGTGATGATACTAATGATAATAATGGTAATAATGATAAAGCTAAGAATGATAATCATAACAATAACAATGACGCCAACAACAACAGCAACAACACTGGCAACACCCGGAACAACATTCGGAACAACTGGAATAACATCCGGAGTAACACTCGGAATAACACTCGGTACAATACTCTAAACAGTAGCCGGAGCAACTGCCGTAGAGCACCGGTCCTTTTCAACTATACAATTTTTCTAGAAATCTCGACATGTAATCTCTCTTTGTAAAAACTAATGTTTTTTTTCTTCCAAAATATGTCGAAAATAGTTAAAGCTGATCTAGGAAATGTATTAATTTAGTAACAGAATGGTCTGAACCTTTTTTCGTTGAGGTAACTATTTTTCTATGTCTTGTAGTTTCGGAGCCTTCAATACATACATCATTAAATAGTTCACCTGGTATCTATATAAATAATCTTGCTGTAACCTGAGGGATTATTTCTTTATTTAACCATCTACCGTTATGACTAATATCATAACGAGTCTGGATTTCAAAAGAGTTTACTATTCAATTCTCGAAATGGAGTTTATAATTTTCATTATAGTTTAATTAATACGTGGGAACTTAGAAATGTTGTACGTTCAGACAATGAATACCAGACACTTACCGTATGTCGCTCATGCACAAGGTAATCCAGTGGTTGGTTGTATAGGGTGACACTTAAGTTGGAAGAACAAGAAAGAAACACCAAAATTTCCAGAAAGGGTTTTAATAACAATAAAAACAGAACAAACAAACAAAATAACGACACAACGGGCTCGAACAACATTATTAATTAATTTATTGACACGCGACAGCGTACCGAGATTCAGGGAATGTGCGATCCATAACAAAATTTGGAATGACTTTATCCATTATTAAATTAACCCGAGTCTCTAAACTAAGTAGACTGCTCAATGTGAAACCCAAGGAAGAACTGCCTGCTTTTCGGATCTCTCCTGAATTCGACACCTCGCTTCGATACGCCCATTTCTTGGGTCCAGAAGTTTCTGTTCTTATCTTATTGGCAGGAATCTGAATACCGGGACGCTTTGGTATAACTACTGTGTTAATAATTACCTAATTGACTGGACTTACATTTATGTAAATAATTATGTGACTAACTGAACTTACAAGTAACCTTTAGCCTTCCTCTAGTGACTCCGAGTAGCAATACGGGACGGATTAGTCAATCTCATTTAACATATTCTTAATAGCTTGGAAAATCTGCCTAAAAACCAGCTATTTGATCTATTACTTTCCTTTCCAATTATTATCAATTTAACAATTTGATTTAATTCTAATTTGTAACTTCTACGCTCTTCTCGTGGTTTCGCGTGTTATTAAAAATATGGGTTTCTTTGTTCTGTCCCAGCATAGGTAGGCGCCTCCCGGACGCGACAAATGACTGTCACATGGCCCCGACGGTCTAAGTGAACTTGTCCAAAGATATCCTAAATTTCATTAGGCTTTCTTTGAAGGATGGTCTTGGCGACGTTAAACCTACTTGAAAACTCCTAACTTTCCAATAAATTAGTGTTGACTGAAATATTTTACTTTTTGGTCCATCCGTTCCGAGAACTAATAAATAAATTACTACGCGTCCCGGCTTTTGTTACATTGTGGAATCGAGGTGTGCAACTACAAAAACAATTAAGCATTAATTTAAAAATATATCTGAAAAGGCAATTTTAAAAGAAAAAAATAAGTTACAGGACAGTCATTCATTTTTCACGTTTAGCTGGAAATTCTTTTATCAGTAAATATTTTCCACTAACTACGTATATTTTAGTTGCATCATTCATATTTTTTTAATTACAAATAGGTCACACTTTTGATGTTTTATTAACCAAAAATAATCAACAAAATAAATATAATTTTTTATAATACTTTTTTGATTTCTTTAAATTTTCTTCTTTTTTTCTTCTTCTCCTATTTCTCCTTCATCGTCTCCTCCTCCTCCGCCTTTTTCTTCTCCTTCTTCTTTTATTGCTGATTCTATTGATAAAACGACAAAATTGTGAAGATATGAACCTGGATTCACGATACGAAATTCTATCCAATGCAAAATATGAACAAATGAATCACCGGCACCATCAATGACACCCAGACGTCTCTAACAATAAATTTTTGGATAAAACATATTTTTTAAACATATCCTTTTAAACTGACGTGGAACTGACTTCCTGACTGCAGTTTCTGATTCCGCAGAACATTTTTTCAAATGTCACCATTTTATCCTATTCAAATATCAAAGCAAATAACAACAAAGAGGATTATGGATCAACCTGTCACTGCTAGAGGCTCCTATCGGGGAGAAGTAATTTACAGAGCAATAACATAATTATAACCTTTTTTAGTTGAGCTCACCTATTGAATATAAATATACATATGTAAATAGTAGTAATTGTGTTTATTTTTATGCTTATACTAATCGTAAGTGTAAAAACAAATATCACATTATTGAATTCAACAATCTAACTTTATAAACATTTCCAAACAACATTGTTTTATTGTTTTATTTGCCTTTAGGTACTATAAATGTTGAAAACTGTGAAAAAGATTTAAAAACATGTTATGAGACATGCGTAAATGAATTAAATCAATAATTATAACATCAAATGAAAAGCTACTAAAAAAAAGATTAAAATAAAGAAAATGAAAAGTAATTGGGAACGTACAAGTACATTGCATTGATACTCTTCAGCATTTTTGTAAATGGAAAACATCAGTCAAAATGTACATACAAACACTGTTCATATGAAATTTGTCTTATATACATAATAAATTAGGTACAAAAATAATAACAGTTGCTAACACTAAACTATTATCAATGTTTCAAAACAAATCGTCCTTGTTCTAATAAGTAAATAGTGTGATAAACACTATGAATGACTGACTAATGATTTCATTTCGGAATTTCCAAGTTACAACGCGTAATGTCACGCTTAACAACTTTAACGGACACGTATAATTTTTTTTCCAATATTCGTCTCAAGGTTGGGTGTCCTGCAATAAGTATACAAATAAAGGACGGTATTAATTTATAATATTACAAGCTATGTAAATAAATTAAATTGCAATTTATTTCTGTTCAACAAGATGAAGAGAAAAGAGGTGTGTCAATGTACATTTGAAGTGTTTAAAACATGTATTATATGATAAGAAAAATTATTAAATAAAAAATAGATATTTAAAAATAACGAGCGTTCAAATAAAAACGTGGTCAAGTTGGTTCTGAAAATTTGGACGTAGGGCGTAGAGTATAGCAAATGAACTTAAACGTCATCTGTCAAAGCGCTATATCGCCGCTATCAATTTGAATATTTTCGTTTTAAAAAGCGTTTAAAATGGTGTTTTCTCAAGAACAAAAAGTGTTTATCATAGAGTCCTACTTTAGAAATGGACGCAAGATTGATGGAATATGGAAGTATTCTATTGAGGAATGTTTCATAGAATTTCAAAATCAATTTCCCGGCGTTGTTGAGTACAAAATTTTTCAAAGTGCAGTTCAGCGTTGTGTTAATGTTTTTCGTGAAACGGGCAGTGTAACAAGAAAAGAAGGAAGCGGCCGACCTAAAAAGCGGACTGAAGAATTAAAAGAAAATGTCCAACAAATAATGGAAAATGCGCCAAGAACTTCTGTACGTGTTTTATCACAAATNTGCTCTATGAACATAGACGTAGAAAACTACCGTTTATAAGATACAGGTCGTTGAAATTAACACAAATAAACTATTTTTTTTAAATATCTGGAAAATCACATCATAATATGTCTCATAACTCTTAAACCATTCACTTTTCGACAAAAATAAAAGAGTGTTTCTGCATCCGGAATGTGTCAGATCGTTGTAAAATGTATTCATATTACTAATTAATTCAGTGGCATAAAAGTTTTACTTTAAATAAGGAAACGATATTATTGTTCTCCGCTATTGGTTTTTGAATTTGGACTGTGTGCATACAGAACTAGGAGAAATATTTGAAAAAAAGTTTGTACCAAATTTGGATAAATTTGATGAAGCGATTTTCCAGATATTTAAAAAAATTGTTTTATTTTTGTTAATTTCAACGCCCTGTATCTCATAAACGGTAGCTTTCTGCGCCTATGTTCAAACTTTCCCGTTTATCTATTAAAATCTGGACCACCCAAATCTGTTTTATTTTTCCCGATTTCAACGCTTTGTTTACTTGAATAATATGTCTCATATCTCGTAAATCATTCACTTTTCGATAAAAATAAAAGAATGTTTTTTCATCCGGAATATTTCAGATCATTATAAAATGTATTCATATTACCAATGAATTCAGTGGCGTAGAAGTTTTACTTTAAATAAGAAAAGGACATCCTTGTTTCTCCGCCACTGGTCTTTGAATTTGGACTATGCGCATACAAAACTAGGAGAAATATTTGAAAAAAAAATGTGTACCAAATTTGGATAAATTTGATAAAGCCGTTTTCCAGATATTTAAAAAAATTGTTTTATTTTTGTTAATTTCAACGCCCTGTATCTCATAAACGGTGGCTTTCTGCACCTATGTGCATAGAGCAAAGTGATGTTAATTTTTGTTGTTTAGTAGTTTCCTGAAGTTTGTCTATTAAAATCTGGACCACCCTGTATACAAGCTGTTACAAATTCGCTTCTCACTACAGGGATCTCGGAAACGGTAAGAGATACGAAGTAGCTTAAATGGGGCAAAGTTGCA